TGTCACCTGTTGTGCTTCAGTTTAACCTAAACTCAGCTGCTGTTAGCTTCTCTCCTGCTCTCTGTGCTCACATAAACTGCATTTTAAAGCAGCTGAATTCACATTCAAACTGTTCTGATTCACATATTTTCCTGTTTCTGCTAACAGCAGAACGAGGATGAAATCATGGCTGAAACTCACTGAGCTACTCGTTAACCAGCACTCACTTCATTTCCAAATACTGATGTTATAGTGTTGTCTAGAAACACGGGGGTTAAAAAGGAGAAGCAAGTAACACTCAGAGAGGACGTCAGATTGAATAGAAAATCTTGCTGTGCTTTTATGACGTGAATCTACCTGAGTGTTCATAATTTTACTGTAAAACCCTGCGAATCATATAAAATCCAGTTACCTCGCCATGAATCGTGGTGATTTAATTTATAAACATGACCTCCCAGTCTGAGATGAGGATGAAAACACTTCTCCCTTTGAATAAATAAGTAAAAACCTCTTTGACCAAATTACAGCGCTGTTCTTTCTCCTTTTTGTGTGCAGCAGATTTTTCATTCTTAGATTTCTCAGTAAACCTTTCCTTCGCCCAGATTGTGCAAAAGACAAAGTGCACTAATGCGGAAAAGAGTTTACCAGCAGCAAAACATTCATTCTGTGTTCCGATTTTCCTTAAACCAGCTGCTGTCACGGAGCAGCGACGGAGGTGGAGGCGCTTCCGTTTGTTTCTTCGCCAGCCGACTTCTCTGCTGATTTCTCTGTTAAAAGATAAAAGAACTTTCACCACAGTGACACACAAACAGTTCCTCCTTTCTGCCTGTTTGTGCAATTTAACCAAAACTACCAATTATTAGCAACTTTTCAGCTGCATATATGTGAAATTAGAAGTTTGTAAGTGCTGCTGTTGTTTTGTATTTAACAGAAATATCATCCAAACAGCTCTCTGAGGCTGTTTTCAATTCACTTTCTGTACATTTAGGCTCTTATCTCGGTCATTATAGGTTCTAGTCAGACATGTTGCACCTTGTTTATTTCCTAAAAGTCTGTTTAATCCAGATCTTCCATCATCTGATGTGATAACACTTGCTGAAGCTTTTGGATATTACCTTCCTATCAGGGAAAACTACATTTTGTATTATAAAACTGATACGTTTTTGGATGTATCTGTGCAAAAAATGCTGGCAGTTGAGATATTTTTGTGTCGTGTGGAATCTGGAAATATCCGAACCGTGATGGTGGGAAACTGTCTGATTAGATGTTATTAAAACATATGAGCTTGACTAATGTGTGTGGAGGCTGCAGCTGGGATTAAATCTGATGTAAATTCAAATTAATTTCTTCTTGCGACCTTTCATCGTAAAGACAAGCAACTAGAAGTGCTGTAAGGATAAAATTGTGCGGTTTAATTTGACGTTTGCTGCAATAAAAACTTTAATAACAAATCAACTGAGAAGCAGGGACGTGAATTAGGTCGTTTTTTACGCGTTAAATCCATAGACTGTATAAAAGATGGACGTAGCTACCGTGACGTCACCCGTTGGTTTCTGCACTGAGAAAATGAAGCCAGGGTTTTGCTACT